CGCACATATGACTGCAAAAAAATGTATATAAAAGAGAATGTGCGAGAAGAAATAAATCACATTCAAGTCCTCTTCACAAGAAGTAAACTTCGCGTCAGTGGAAAGATGAAGCTGGAAATTGTTTTCCAAATTTTTGCGGTGTCATTCGTTTCTTTCCCCGCGGGAATTTTCACAACAGATTTCAACGTTGCCCGTCAAGGTGAGCTGTTTTTGACCCTGTACATATTTTTTTTAAAAAAGAATTATCCCCGATGCAGTGAGTAAAATACTGTAAATTCGAATACATTCTCAGAAGAATCGTGAAACGAAATAATGCCGATTCAATTTTTGTGCTACGTGAAAAATTATCTTGCCAAATAATCTTCTCAAATTGAGCTGGAAAATTATTAAAAATATAAACCGTACTTTATTCCCTCTGAAAAAAATCTGAAAAACTGGATTACTGTACTTCGAAAGCTTTCAGTGGCTTTTAAAATCAAAATAGAATGTCCAATCGCGTCACCTGCTTCAAAAATGACAATTTTCGCAAAATAATTCTCAACAGCTGGAAATCGATTCACCAGGACGATATTTAAAAAAATTGTCAGCTCAGCGATTTTTATTTAAAATAATTAAACGTGTTCATTTGGAGTATTAAAAAATGAACCAACCATTCCTGAAAATGAGTCGAATGAAGGACGACGTTATCGATTTTAAAACACAATACTTTTTAAGTTGAAAGCTTTGAAATGCGGGCGTTTTTGTTTGAAACAAAAGATTTTCTTACAAATTTTCCTACGGAAAAACACGGAGTGATTTATTAGGAATACGGTATAACGAAATAAATAATAATACACCACTAAACGAAAAGTCAGGGAAAATCGCACCGATCGTAAAAAAATCAATTAATTCAATGATTTACCTCACACATGATCTTCGCCAAGGAATTTAAAAAGGATATCTTTCCTCAAATTTAAAGCAAAAAGCGACTCAAAATTCATATTGATCATAATTCTCTCATTCATTCGAAATATATTTTGTCTCCAGTTTACTTCAAAATTTTCGTAGGCAGAAATTCCCTCTCTTTCTTACAAAAGAAATAAAATCCAACACGTCCTTCAATCGTATTTATCATGATCTATTTGATTTTTTTTTAGTTATGTACTACGAACATAAAATCGGTATTACTTACGTAGAAACGCAAGAATCGTCTCCATGAAAAAAACGAAGTTAAAATACTGTACATCTTACATCGAAATTTTAAAATTTAATCCAGTTTTCGATTCTCTTTTTCTTTCGACAAAGGAAACGACAGTGCACAACCAGCCATCGTTTCCGGAAGTCAGGTCACGTCAAGGACAGGTTTCGAACACGTTGTTCGCATTGATGCATCGATCATCGCAATCAGCACTACTTGCACGGGATCATTGATTTCCACAAGAATGGTCCTCACAGCTGGTAGCTGCATCATGAAAAGCTTGTAAGTTAACCTCGCTTTCAAAATGAATGCGAGGAAAATTCACTCAAAAAGAAAATACAATTTCGAAAATTATATGCGACTTTGAAATCAGAACAATCTAGTTATTCAACGTTTATTCTGACTGGAAAATTGCACGAGAAATGAATCGAAAAAAAAGAAACGCATTTCCCACAAAAGACAAACGAGGAAAAAATGTTTAAACTGAAATTAAAAAGTCTTAGGGTCCGCTTCTTTCGACGCAAAATTCATTGAAAAAAAAAACCTCGAGAACAAGTTCAAAAAATTCTTCGCACTCAAATTTGTCGCAGCTCAGGAATTTATTGACTGGAAAATAAGTCTCATTTTTTGTCAATACATTTTTTCGTATTGAAACAATTCATCATAACTACGAGGTAATCGCATTTTTGTTTTCATTTGAGGTACCCTTCCAGAATTTTCTCTCTTTTTTTTCCAAAACAGGTTCAAAATCTTCAGACTGAAATTCAAAAGTTGGGTCGTGACTCTCGGAGATTTATCGGTATCAGCTCACGAAAATGCAGAGCAGAAGATCAACGGATTCGGTTTCGTGTATCCCTTATATCCGTCATCTTTCGTAGGATCCGACCCAAAAAACATCGGGATCATCAAGCTAAAAACGGCAGCAACCATAGACAATACGAATGTCAAAACAATCAGTTTGTCAACATCAACTTCTTTCAGCACTGGCACAGTTGTCAGCGTTTCTGGATGGGGGACAGACACGAGCATCGGCTGTTAGTTGAAAAAAAAAAGAAACAATTATAATTTAAAATTCGATTCAAGCAATAATACTGTACAACCAAAATGAAATGTGTACGAAGGTTGTTTCATAAGTCTTGCGACTTTTTCAAATAGATCCAACATGGTTTGGTCATTTTGAAATTTTTCAAGTGCTGTTGACAAAACCGTGTTGGGTCTATTTCAAAAAGTCGCAAGACTTATAAAACAACCCTCGTCCACTTCGAACAGTTACAAAAATATGTTCATTAATAAAAATCAAAATAAACAAAAATATTCTTGTTTCTCATGTACCCATCATTTCGGATTCATTCTTGCATGAAATTATTCGAGGCATAATTGTAAATAAGAACGATTTTGACCGCTGAGTGATCATGAACAGTTAGCTTCACTTTTTCCGGGCGTCGGAAATTTGCACGGAAAGTTCTAACGTATCGAAAAAAAAATTATTTGGCGTTAACATCAAGATTCCTTCGTTTAATGTCAATTTATCAGCTAAGAACATTCTAAATATCGTGAGTCTTCCTGGAAAGAAGCTCAAAAATCGAAAAAAAATAATGTAACAGTACTCATATTTTCCTCACATATTAACAAGACAATATTTTCCAAATAAGGCACGAATTTCGTAATATTTTCCATACGCGTCCCATTCAAGTTTCAGACCAGAAAATGTCTCTTTTCTTTGCCCTAGATACCAAAGAGTTCTTGTTTGTCAAAATCCTACCACGATCTCTTTTGTCTCTTTTTCCTACTTATTTTGACAACATTAACAGTTTGCAGAAACTGTAGTGTATACTGTATTCAAGTTTTTTTGGGTTTAGTCTGGTAGCAACAGAAGATATGCGCATCAGGGATTCGTCTGATTTTATTCGCAGCAAATGACGCTTTACTAACTGGAAACATGGACGCGTCGAACGTCGCGAACTGTGACTTGAGCACAGAAACGCAGGCCACGAGGATTTGTCTGAAACCGTCAAGCAGTGCCACGCAACAGACAGCTTGCTTCGTGAGTAAAATAGAAAAGCAATTCACAATACTCCGTTATTCATTGTTTTTAATTTAAAATGTTCAGAGATATGTTATCCTTCACTAGAAAAAAATAAAGAAATGAAGTCCGGCAGGTCTCGCGTAAATCAACATCGAGCTTTTATACGAAGTGATGTAACACGATTCGAGCGACACCTACGTGACACGGAAGCCTGACTGCATGATTCAAGTGAAGCGCATGTAACTTCACCGTCACTTAGATGTCGCGTGAATCAGGCGTCCAGATTCACAAAAATCATGGGACATCACTGATTCGTTTCTTCACTCACTCGTATAAGTGGCACGACCTTTATTGTCAAAATTCGATCCAAGAAGCATGTAGCATAATTGATCGGTCAACTAGTCAGACTAAACCCAGCTTAACCTTTGAGCAGAAGTAACGTTGTAAAAGGCGACATCTATGATGGAAACACAATCAGGAAGAATAAATGCAACATTTTCAAAATATTGCACAGGCACGTTCTCCTTACAGAACTCACAAAAAATTATTCTAAGAATATTCTGTATTTTCAACTAATACGAGCTGGGTGAAAATTAACTATACTGTACCTTATTTTTGTCAGAGCTGTCATGTCATCTCTTGTTTTCTTTTTCTTTACAATAAACAGAACATAACTGAAGTTAATAGTTTTAAAGGGGGAGTTTATTTCTAGCACAGCATCAAGAAATGCCTTTGTAATCTTCAATTTTAAATTTCAAAAGCTTCCATCACAAAAAACTATTGAATAAAAAATAATAATAAATTACATAATAATAATTCAACTCGATTTAACCCATGATTGTTAGCTTGTTACAATGCCTGCCTGACCCGGATCTTTCACAAGGTAAATTGAAACTCAAACTTATTTCAATTAAACAAATGAATATAAAAAAATTGAATGGCCTTCAATTTCAACAGGGAGATTTAGGTGGACCAGTTGTTAGCAACGGTGAGCTGATTGCGGTCATTTCCTATGTGCCCGGACTCCTCACTTGTCAAAGTTCCGATTATGCCGTTGGAACTCTGGTTGGGGCATACACAAAGTGGATCAAAAAATTTACTACATTCAATTGATTTTATTCATCAATGCGTTCGCGGCTGTTTGTCTGTAAATATAATTTATCAATTCGTTCCGCGAAAATTTGTGCGTTGAGATCATTCATTTATTCGTTTGCTGTTATTTGTTCGTTGAGATTGAAACTATTCGTGGAAATTTTCCTTTTTATTTTACTTCATTTTAATAGAAGTCCTCCAATTAACATCAGCAAAAAATCTACGCAGTCGGTAATTTTGGAAAGAGCTTCTTTGATTTCTTTTTTCACTTACACTTCAGAACATAAGCTTGCCTCAGATTTCTTTTCATTCTATTCAGCACAAATAATTTAATAGACTACGGTATTTCGGTATGAATTCGACGACATCAGAATTTTGATAATGCAATAGTTTTTTTAAAGGAGAATTTCAGTGTAAAGTTGAACCACCGTAGAAAAAAAAAGGAAAAACTACGTAATGCGTTTCGCTCTTGTTTTTTTTTTTTTCAGAACACGCTTCGACAACCCTGAAGCCAGGGGACTAAAGCCGCAATTTCTTACAGACAGTGCGCTGGAAAGTTTTGTAAACAGTGCAGCATTACGTGTGTGTGAAATTGATATGGTGTTCAAAACTTGGATTTCATTCGCGTTTATAGTTTCCGGTTCTTTCACAAACGCAGCAAATACGACACAAGGTGAATGAAGTTTTTATCGTCCATTGCGGGTTCTAAGGAGTCTCTGATTAAAAAATATATATATAATCGACCAGCTGAATGAAAAAATACTTCATTGCATGTATTCAAACTACATCTGCGATCAACGTAAACTTGAATTTGGATTTTAAGCAATTACTTCCAGTCTTCAACCGAGTAAATTATTTTTGATTTCACAAACGTCAGCCAAATTATGAAAATTTCAAAGTTCAACTTTCGTCTTGTATTGCAATCAATAAATATAAGTTCGTTAATTTTTAGAGTAATAAAATTAATTGTAGTTCACGAAAACAGAGTTAATTAAGAACTTTCATCGAGTAAATTTGTTTTGGTTTTCTCAAAATTATAGCCAAGTTGATAAAATTAAAAATTCCGCTTTTCGTCCTCACATTGAAATAAATTAATGAATTTTTCTTAATTGTTGGAAAAAGAATCCATTCTTGTATTTAAAAAAAGCTAACGGGACTCATTTTCGAAGATTACGCTGATTTAAAAAAGACGCCGAAATTGTAAAAAATGCCAAAATTATAACAAATTGCGTTTCTACGAAAAGAAGACCGAGTTTTTAAATGGTGGAAATGAAAGCTTAATTTTCAGTTGCTGATTTTTCTTCTACAGTATTCTTAAGACGCTGAATTTAATCCTTTCTCTCATGACCTCAGTTTTCACAATACTGTGATTACATAACATGACAGTATTGTATCGTACTTCAAAAACATTTTGATCACGTTTCGTCGTTCTCGTTATCGGAAAATAACACCAACCCTCAAAAATGAGCCCTCGTAAAAATTATAAAATTTAGTGTAAAAAAAAAAGCAAGGATGTGACATTGAGAAATTTTCCTTCCCCCCTACTCATACAGGAAATAATGACATTCAACCAGCAATTGTGTCTGGAACTGAAGCAACGTCCAGAACAAACTTAGAATATCTTGCTCGGGTTGACGCAAAACTATTCGGAATCGTGACAACTTGCACAGGGACTTTAATCACAACCCGAGTCGTCCTCACGGCTGGACACTGCGTCAAGAAAAGTTTGTGAGTTGCATCTTGAAGAACTTGGCAAGGAATATTATTTTCAATACGTGACATGATCGAGGTTCATCCTGTCCTTCAAATTATAAGAAAAAAATTGCATCCCGTGACACATTCTGTAAAATGAAAATTTAGACAAAAGCTAGGTTGTGACGCTGGGAGAAGCAAGTCAAGATGAAAGTTGAGAAATGCGGAACGAATAAAAATACAGTACTGTAATACAATTGAACCACAATAATTCGAACCTTCTTGAGTCAAATACTGTACCTCTTTAATTTTTTTTCAGGTCCGTGTCTGTATCCCCTTAGAAATAATGCATTAAACACCTCCTCAACTCAAAGGATTCCCTCCTCAAACCTCAAGAACACAAATTTTCTGGAGGCCTTTTGCTATTATTTTCTTGACACAAAAAATATAAGAGGATTAAAGATTTAAATGTAGAATTGAAAGACTAATTTTGCAAACGATCCCTTCCATATTCAGTATTCTGTCAACTCATTTAAGAAGGAATTTAGGACCCAGAATATCAGCAATTGAAATTTTCTTGCAATGCTTTCCTTCCCGAACACAAATGCATGCTTCTTCATCTAGAATTTATTTGTTAATCTTTTGAAGTTCAACTTCGAGGTTGGACTGGACAAAATTAAATAAACCATCATTCACAGCGGCGGGATTCGAACGCGATTATTTTCAAAACGAGGGGTAAAAACATGTTTTTTAATAATCTTCACTTTTGGAAACAGGATAAAGATTTTCAGAATAAAATACAAGAGCTGGGTCGTGACTCTCGGGGACTTGACAGCGTCCAAACCTGAAGACAATGAACAACGAATTGACGGAGTCGGGTACTCGAACCCATTTTACCCATCAGTGTACTCTGGATCCGACCCCAAGGACATCGGACTAGTAAAACTGAAAGTGGGAGCAGTGACAGATAATACCAATGTTAAAACCATCGGTTTGTCCAGTGCGACTTCATTCCCGTCAGGAACCGTGGTTTCAGTTTCCGGATGGGGAGTTATTGATTCAAACGCAGGAGGTAAGTTTGAATTAGTAGTAGACTCAATTATACGCCGGAATACCTGTGCTTGAAACCCCCGGACAAGTTTAAATTCACGACAAGTACGCAAAAATTTGCTGTTTACAGCATTATCCACCGACACTTTGCATTATGGTACCATGGAAGTGACCAATGTTGCCTATTGTGGAATGACTGTGGAGAAAACAACCAGACGACTTTGCTTGACGCCCTCCCGTACCACAACCAAGCAATCTGCGTGCTTTGTAAGTAACAAACAAAATATTTAAATGCTTTTTTGAACCACAATTCAAATGAAAAAAGTAACCAGGTGAATAAATACGGTGCTCAATAGCACCAGTTCCACAAGTAGCAGAGTGGTGCAGTGGAAGCGTGCTGAGCCCATAACTCAGAGGTCCATGTATTGAAACCACGCTCTGCTAGAATTTTTTTCCCCGTCCAAAACAAGTCATTAATTAGACGCATCGGACCCAATGGATTTTAATTCATGTCTTATTGATTTTTAACCTCATTTTATTACACAGGGAGATTTGGGTGGACCTGTGGTATACAATAACCAACTAATAGCGATCATGACTTACATACCAGGAACCATATCCTGTCAAGCCACAGATTACACAATTGGAGTTCTCATCGGCCCGCAATCGGATTGGATCAAGAAGTTTACGTGAAGACATTCTCTCAATTAAAAATCCCGAATACCTCCCCAGAAATTGAATTAAGACTTATTGCACCCTTTGTAAATGAGACTTGATGAAACACTGAAATGTTTTCAGAACGGATTCATGATTCTTCCACCGATGCCGCAAGTGTGATAACAGATAACCACTCCCAAATTGATACTCATTTCCTAAAAAATTGAAATCGCGGAGTCAAAAAAAAAGACGAGAAACTGGGTTTTTACTACTGTATTCGCTATCGCAATGTTAAAGAAAATCATTCACTCACGCTAAGTCCAAGCCGATCATTTTGTCTCTATTGCGGACAAAATCCGCGACAATTCCATCGTATGATGCGCCAAGTTACGTGAAAGATCAGCACCACCGACAGTAGCCAACGTCGACACCAACTCCGCATGTTTGTTCCCCCATTCTGAGTAGCTTTTAAGCTGAGATGTACTCATGATTCTATCCTGAAGAATGCCAGCCATCAACACCACACCGGGTGTTCGACGCAACGCCTTGAAAATGGCTTTCACAGATTTCGGATCACTTTTCTCCATTCCGAACCCTATTAACTGATGACCAGTGAAGATGGGTAGAATGTTGGAGTATTTTGTTCCGTCCAGAGCAATCTGCAAAATTTTTTTCCCTATGGCTTCCACCTTGATTCCACATTTGTGCAAGGCGAGGGACGCATCGAAGTAATCCCAGCCCTCCATCTTGTTTCGATGAAATATCAGGGTCAGTTGTGAACTCTAAGAGGATAATTAGGACTTACTATAGCCACAGTTACGAGGAATTGATACATATGCGTCGGGAGAAAAGCATTCAGTACGAAAAAGAACCAAGGGAAAATAACCCACAGAACTGATGCTTTACTGAATCAAAATTTTCCGAGACTCTTGAAATGTTTTCTTTGCTTAACTACGAGTAGCGTCCTCTTCTTAAAAAAAGAAAGGATAAATTTCGAAACCAAAAAAATGTTTTCCGTAGAAAAATCGGATCATTGGATGCCTTTCTCACGTCACCGAAGGAATAATTTTCGTAAATTACCTGAAACTTCATGAGGGCTTCTCGCGCAAGCAGGGTTTCATATTTAGTCACGTTCGTTTCCACTGCGGCAGTCACACTTTGGTAGTGCGCATTCAATTCACAGGTTTCATTCGGGGGTAACGATTTTACGAAATCGACATACTTTGGCTGCACTATATGTTCAACTAGAGCCCGGTAAGTATGAGATGGGCGGGGTTTCGTGATCCGCGGCTTCCGACCGAACCGACCGTAATTTCGCACTTGAACGGAGACCGTGGACAACGGACGTAAGAGCCACGAAGACATTTTCTAGTTGAAAAATATCAGGGATAAATTTTCACGCAAGAAAACGAAACAGAGCAGGCAGGTTCGTCTGGGAGAAAACATTTTCCATAATTGTCGGCAGTTTCATAAAAGTTTACTGAAAGCAAAGGTTCAAGTATCAAGTTTTCCACTGCGTGCGAGATCATGGAAAGGAAACCCCCAGATGAACGTACCACTAGTTCAAAACACAATAAAGGCTGGCAAATTTTAATTTTCCCATCCGAACACGAGGATTATTCAAGGTGAATCAGAAAAGGCCCAAGGATTATCAACACGAAATCAAAAATCATCATCGTCAGAATCAAGAGCAGCTCGACGTCGATCAAACTTCACTGTAGTTGTGACTTTGGATTTCTCGCTCACTTGCTCCAAAAGCCCGATTAGCTCCTGCTCGGACATTTTGCCCCTAAGCTGACCAGATGTAGCCATCCGAAGAATTAAATTTTCAATCATCTGCCCTTTCTCGGGTTTGGCCAGAGCAAGTGTGTTCAACCGCGCGCGTGCAGCCTGATCGAGAGCTTGCGATAAAATTGAATTCTTGGCCATTTCTTGCTCTTGTTGGCGGCGTTCGGCTTCTTCACCATCCCTTTCTGAGCCGCCGCCACCACGACCACCACCACCGCCGCCGCCGGCCTTCGCTTGGAGCGTGGCCATCCGTTGAGCACGTATTCTGGCCAATTCGGGATCGTCCATAACTTACGGATAGCACGCGCACCAGATAATCTGATACATCAGAAAAAAGTCTTCATTTCAGTTGTCACGACGCAGTAAAATAATGAGGGATGAATGCACGAGAGTCAGGATCTGCACCGGTCTTACATGATTACATCATCACTTTTAAGCAGCAAAATGCGTCAACAGTACTCCACTTTCATCACTCATGCATGCAGAAAAACACCAATTCCATCTCCAACCACAGCTTTCAGGAACTTCATCTACAGTATGTAAAAATTCGGCACTGCTGTTCGAAGGGTGGCCGATTTCTGCGACGGCAAGCTCAATGATGAAAGATGCTCTCCGAAGCTAAGAGACGCGGTGGTACCAACACATGCCTTGGAGCTATCCTAGTTGGGGGGACCCAAGCGCAAAACTACGTCTATATAGATGTCGCTAACAACGGCACACTGGACGTTCTTGGTGGACATACTCCAATCATTCAACAACCCTGTTCTGTTGATCCTGTGGTACACTATCGTCAGCCTTACCATCAGTCCGTTTTATTCTCGATTCAAATTCATGACTGACTCTAAGTGAATTTCAATGTGAATTGACACTTGCACTGTTTCATTTGTTCTGCTGAGACTGCATTTGGGGGGCGGTTAGGTAAAGTTAGGTTAGGTCAGGTTATGTTAGTTAAAATATGTATTAATTTTAATTAAAATAATTTGTAATGAACATATAAAATCCATAGTTGAAATATTTTTAACTAACATATCCTGACCTAACCTAACTTTACCTAACTGCCCCCAAAAGTCAGTTTTTGCAGAAAACTCGAGTCAGGTTGTGTTACCTAAAATATTTTCAATGAACACTTTTTAAAATGTATGGCTGAAATATGTTTTGCTTACATAACCTGACCTAACCTAACTTTACCTAACTGCCTCCCAAATTCAGTCTCAGCAGAATCAGAAATAACAGTGCCAGTGTCAATTCACATCTTAATTCAAATGCGCAGTTGGATTTGTACCTGCATAGAGAATAAAATCAGACTGGTGGTAAGGCTGACGATAGCGTACCTCACCGGCAGCACAGCAGAGCTGTTGGANCAGCTTGCAGAACTTTGAGGCAGGGGTTCATTTTTTCAATTACTCTTCCCCTTCATTTCAAAATACATCCTATCATTTGTTTTATTCAATAATATCCAAATGGCCTCAAAATATTTTACTTACAGAGGATTGAGAAAAAAAGACTTGAGTTAGGATGGTTTTAATGCAATGTTTCTGAAGGAATTCAGAGAAGGACCCAAATGAAGCAGTTATTTGACTCACCAGGGTTTAACTCGTCAACGTTCAACTGTAAGTGGTCCCAAAGGACAGGAGATCAGTCAGATTTGATTATGGAGGTTGCATTGGATACAAACTGAAATTCCTTATATTCATAGGTAATGAAAAATGAGCAACACTAGTTGTTGAATACGCTGTAGAACAGTTTTTGAAAAAGCCCTGGTCCCTGTCCGTTTTAAATTAAAGTAACGAGGATCTGGTCGTTTAAGGGGTTTTAAGTAGACGCCTGGTCGCTTCAAAGTATTTTACAAGTATCTGGGGTTTTCAAAGAGAAGTAAGGCTCACCACAGGTATTTGAAAAATTTCAGCTTTTACTTCAAAGGAGAACCAATGAAGCAGCAATGAAGTGAAAAGTCTCCAAAAACTTAGAAAGGTGCGCTCAAAGAAAGGCTTTTTGAAATCAAAAAACTAAAATTGATCATTCAAGCATATGAAAATTTGGCTGAAGTGTTCAGACTCAGAGGAAAGCAAACTTTTTTCTCATCAGATAATTTCAAATACCATTATTTTTACAACACTTCAGAAAACGATAACATACAGTACTTCATTGCTACTTCTGATGAACTCATTCTGCTGCAGAAAATCTCCCCCAGACCAGCAAAAATCTTCCATAGACCGGCACTAGTCCCCGGACCACTGATCGGGGAACACTGCTGTATAAAATTCCAAGATTCATCAACAACTACAGCAGTTCTTAGTGTATTCAGTACTGGCCTTTTACTCAGCTGACCTTCCTCACTGGTTTCTGTTTCCAGGTCCGGATCAACTGCAGGTGAAGCAAACTCGTTCTTACTGGCTTCGCTTTCAAGAACTTCAACCACGTCACCCGCGGAAGACGTGTCGAACCAAGCAACCATTGCAGCTTCGTATCATCAGCACTGCGCACCAAAGGCAGTATTAGGCAAGGCCAAACTGTCGGTCTGGAAAGCTACTTTCTACAGTGTACTTTTTCATATAGGGTTTGAATGAGTCACGTCTACTAGTCCAAGGGAATTTCACTCTCTGTGACATCAGTCGTTAACTTGCGAAGGTTCATAACAGGAGGTTTCATTTGTCGTTTCCACTATCTCGCAGTTCACCTCATTCTGTAGGCAGACGGCAAAACACGTTTTCAAAGTTAGCGACGTTTTATAAAGCCTCTATAAACTTGAAAACGAGTTTTGATGAATTCGCCCACCGTGGTACACTACATTGGGCAAACCTGTTCTGTAGGCAGACTGAAACATAAGTACTGTACCTGCTTCCTGACTGGAATCAAAAGCTTCTGAAGCAATCTCACATACATTACGACGCCAGTGACACCGAACAGAATTTCCCTCACGAAAGATTTCACGACAAATATTTTGCAACGAAACCGGGGAAAGTCATTCCCCAATACCCTCGCAACCTTAAAATTCATTGTCATTGTCGCCAAGTTCATAGTCAGGGTCAGCCAATTTCTGGATGCTATAGAAATCTTAGATCTAATCCGAATAACAGATCCTACCACACGCATAATTCAGGAAGAACATTTTCCAGTTCGGTGTGCGGTGGAACTTCAAGGGACTCGCAAAAAATTCGAGTTAGGAAGATTACCAGTAAGAGAAAAGGGCATTTCCGTTCAGGGGAGAGAAGAAGATGCACAGAAAATCAACACTGATGATATTCCGGGCTTGAAATTGCGGAGCTATCCTAGTTGGGGGGACCCAGGCGCAAAACTACGTGTATATAGATGTCGCTAAGAACGGCACACTGAACGTTCTTGGTGGACACACTCCAATCGTTCAACAACCCTGTTCTGTTGATCCTGTGGTATGCTATCATCAGCCTTACCATCAGTCCGTTTTATTCTCGATTCAAATTCATTACTGACTCTAAGTGAATTTCAATGTGAATTGACACTTGCACTGTTTCATTGGTTCTGCTGAGACTGAATTTGGGGGGCGGTTAGGTAAAGTTAGGTTAGGTCAGGTTATGTTAGTTAAAATATGTATTAATGTCAATTAAAATAATTTGTAATGAACATATAAAATCCATNTTGCACTGTTTCATTGGTTCTGCTGAGACTGAATTTGGGGGGCGGTTAGGTAAAGTTAGGTTAGGTCAGGTTATGTTAGTTAAAATATGTATTAATGTTAATTAAAATAATTTGTAATGAACATATAAAATCCATAGTTGAAATATTTTTAACTAACATATCCTGACCTAACCTAACTTTACCTAACTGCCCCCCAAAGTCAGTTTTTGCAGAAAACTCGAGTCAGGTTGTGTTACCTAAAATATTTTCAATGAACACTTTTTAAAATGTATGGCTGAAATATTTTTTGCTTACATAACCTGACCTAACCTAACTGCCTACCAAATTCAGTCTCAGCAGAATCAGAAATAACAGTGCCAATTAACATCTTAATTCAAATGCGCAGTTGGATTTGTACCTGCATAGAGAATAAAATCGGACCGGTGGTAAGGCTGACGATAGCGTACCTCACCAGCAGCACAGCAGAGCTGTTGGAGAACTGGAGTGTACAAGGGCTAGGCGCGCGTGAAAGGGAGTACGCACTGTTTATTGTAGATGGAGCTAGTAGTCTGGGTCCCCCCAACTAGGGTAGCTACCAAACGCCTCATCATGAGAATGCACCAAGAGAATGACAATGGAAAACACGCTTACACATCGGTTGATGACATTGAAAGAAGACATCGAACGCAAACTCTGCGCTCACCTTTTGAAATCCTCCTGAGTCGCGAAACCTGCAAGAACAAGGAGTCTAATCAAAACCATTCGCAATGATACAAGAGTGCAATATTAATCCAAGTTTTTCCTTAATACCGTCAAACGCAATCATCCAATCATCACGGTGATGAAAAGGCGGGTTAAAAGGCATCATCGCCAGAACTCAATAAGAAACAAGAATTTTGGATGTTTGCATGCAGCAGGGGCATGCACTCGGTAGTTCCCGGCATCAACGCACTGCAGTGCATTGACGCAAAGCGAGAAGCCCCGCAGCACTCACAAACATTTTTCATGTTTCGAAGTACGGATTGCGACATAAACCCTACATGTTCTTGAACAGATCAATGCGCCACCTTGTGGTACAGCTTCTACTTAGCACCACTCCATTCAGGGCTATCTCTTCCATGCCACCTCTAGGAGCCCAAGTCTCTTATTGAGTGACTTCAATTGCAATGGTTTGGTGGTGTAAAATTCATAGGGAGACTCCAAGGGAAAAATTGCAGTGCACATATAAAAACAAAATTTGTAAATAAATAAAAGATCAAGGGAAACTCTGGTGGACCAATAATAGTGGAAATATTAGAAAAACCATTTTCAACATAAATGAAAAATTTTTAATATCCAAATAACATTGAACAAATTGGTGAAATTATGTAAATAAAAAGTTCAAGAACATTTCATACCAAATAGTGTATGTACAGTTATGGTTTGTAATATTCTTCACGTAGTCTTTATACTGTTTGAATGTGTATATTTATTTGAATAACATTGCTTATATCAGTCAAATACTCTAAATAAATAAATATAAATACATATACTGTACATACATGTATAAATATATATACAATACTACAGTATATGTATACAGTGAATCAAAGTTGCATGCAAATATAAAAGTTTTTCAAAAGAATAATTAAGTCTGAAGACGTGACCAAATTATAAGTGCACAAAACCTTAAAAAAATTCAGAAATTAATTTCAATGCATTTCTGGATTTATCTTGTGTACATCAGGGATTAAACCTGTGCTGAAGCACACATATGCTGCTGTGTTTTTCACAATTTGGAGGCACAATTCATCCTTGATATTGCGAAGCATTGAAGTACTTATTCATCCTGGATTGAGTTATCATCAATTGAGATGGCAAACCAATTAAGTAAAGTATTGTACTTATTCCATGCCTGAATTCCTTTCCTACACCGTTCATCAACATAGTACTGTATCTTCACATTGTGATTTGTTCTTTTAAGGAGCCATTTTACTGATCAGTTCCTGTGGGAAATGTTGCAGTTTATGGTGTTGATCAGCAATACTGTACTCCTTGTACGGTAAAAATTCGCGCACTGTACAGAACCAGGGTGCATTCACTATGCGTACGCCGAATCGGCTCTTCCCTGAGGAACACTTCGGCAGCCGTTCCATCCGCGGAAAGTGAAAATTCACCCGAAAATTTTCGAGAAATTCTGTAGTACTGTACTTAGTATTCAGCGATAAAAAGATACAGTACTTTTTTCAGCAAAAAATTCAACAGAAGGCATTCCATTGATAACACTGTACCACAAAATGGTTGCAATGTATTATGTTGAGTTTAGGAATGATTGTTTTTTCTAATTAATTTTTTTGAATGTTTCTTTTTCTTCTGGGCCTATAGGAAATATTTTTATATTGAGCTGATGTATGCAACCAATTTCCTTGCTGTGTCAGTTTATATGGTTTTGTTGCTCAACTGCATCATGAAAAACATACAGATATGCATATATACAGTAACTGTACTGTATATACAGAGGTAGTAAATGTACATCTATACAGTGAGACCCCAAGATGAGGATTTAATTGGGGCATCAAGAGTGCCCCTAAGTCAAAATGTCCCCAAATCAAGTCTCATTTTCCCTTAGACTTACATTATATAAATATCAATTGGTGTTTTATGTACAAAATACTTACCATAATTCCATGAAAATAAAAATTGTCTCCCAATTTAAATTGATTCCAATCAATATATTTCAACACAATATGGACATTTGGGGAATTGAATTCTGATACCTCTGTAGAGTACACAGAAATGTTGGCATTCTCTGTAAAAAAAAATAACATTCAAGTGAAAAAGAGAGAAGGAAGTCCCTCTCTGCTGGAGGTAATTTTTTCAAATTAGCTAAATGGATGGTATATTGGTGAGAGAAAGGCCCAAGAACTTTTTTTTACATCCATTTTAGGGTTGGAAATATCTGTTTCTTGTAATTTGGCCTTACATGAATTTGCAATTTTATCACAAAATGTCCCTATGTTGAGTCAGTGTCCTCATGTTGGGTCTTTTTAATTAATTTTTTATTAGAAAATATAAGTGTCCCTATGTCAAATTGTCTGCAGTTTGAGGTGTCCACATGCGGACACCTCACTGTATGAGGGTCTCACTGTACTTCATAGTACATATATGAGCCAATATACAGAAGTAAGGAAAGAAAATGTATTGTGTGTATTAAATTCAATTCAATCCAGAATAAGATTTGTGGAAATTGCATATAGTTTGAATTAGTTGCAGCAGAGCTTTTACTCAAAAAAGAATTCAAATTATAATTTTAATAAAAGAATTAGAATCAATTCACTATTTACCTGACCATTCATCATTGTTCTGTTTAGTATGAAGCCAAAGTAATTTAGTTCCACAATCTTTCCTGGGAGACTTTTAAACATCGTGAGATAGGTAAAATTAAGTTTTGGTACACTACTACATATACTGCATTACAGTATATGAATAAAGGAAAGTTGAATACTAGAGGTTTAGAATTTAAATGAGAGAAACAAATTTTTACACATAGTCAATAGCATACAGGCATCAATCATTGGCATATGTGAGGTTTGCGTGTTTAATAATAATTAATAAAAAATATTATTGCCTTGTAAATATACAGTAGCACTATATAGTCGAATACAGTAATAATTTCTCAATGCATATATAATTTGAGGTATTCGAGCCACATTTCATATATGCCTCATGATGAAGTGAAACATATGTAGTGCACATATACCATCTGATTTATGAAGCTGAAAATATATAAAACATCTTCTAGAATTCATCACGGAATCGCAAAATTATTATTATACAGATTTCTCAACAGAGTAGAATAATAAATCTTATCCTTATATTATTGGAATTCCATGTAATTTTTCTCATCATATCTCTTTATTGTTGGTGGCTGCTCCCAGAAGCAGGAACAGTGAGACAATTGATGAGCGAGGAACATTGGAACAGTGATTTAAATTCTGTTTTATGATATATACAAACAAAATAATTTGGATGAACCCATGTCTTCCAAGATAAATGTTCGAAAAAAAAGGTTGCGAACTTTTTATTTGATCAGAACCTTCGTCATTCTGAATGTATGCATTCCTTGGATGACAACTTTCTTATTCAATATAATTGATCATATGACAACTTAATTGCGTGTGACAACATTGTAAGCTCATCCCATTTCTTGAGACTCTTTTTGTCTCGATTGAATTTCACACATTTAGAAAAGGTTTGAGCCAAATAATAAGGTTTCAGATTCTAAAGGCCGTATAGTGTATACAGTATATATTTAATATGTTTTTGAACATAATCAACACAATTCAGACTTTTCATAACACATACTTTCCAAAAATAGTGAATATGAGTTAAATGTTAAATTTAGACAGACCCGGACGACGTCACGTCAGAAAATTTGAGGAAATGAATGATTTGATCACATACTTCGGGAGAGCTTCATTGAAGAACGATGAGCCATAAACGTGCAATCAAATACCATTGTTAATATTATTGGGATACAAGTTCATTCAAAATTCTGGACTGAAAATTTATAAATACTGTATTATTCATGCTGAAGAACTTGAACCAGCATACTGTATATAAGTGATGTTGAATGCATTTTTATCATGCACTTCGTGATTATTATTCTACATAGTTATCTTCACTTCCTCAACACGCAAAATTCGAAAAATTATGGGATTGTTTTCCATCTGTGTATTATTATGAACGGTTTAATTTCTCAAAATATAATACGATTGAAGAAGAGAGTATTTTAATAAAATGCACTGCAATTTTCATGCATGCCATTTTTACGTGTGTCTTATTAGTATAAAATACGTTAGTATACAGCACCAAAAGCGGGCTAAATTAATATATGCCACTAAATTTTCTGACTCCGTCAAAATGAAGGAATTGAACAACTTGTTTTGAATATTCGCTGCGGGTTATCCTCTGATATTAGAAGCTAGGTGTTCTCTTTTTGGCATTCGGACAGTCAGTTGAGAGCACTATATACTGTAATTTATGGAATCAATATTCTAGCAATTTTCTCATTATGAAGAGTATAGTACCTGAAAAAGCTTGCATTCAGAAACTCATCCTCTCTACAGCATATTTCATGTCTTCATGTAAAACAGGTGGATTCTCTCCATAACAAAACTCAAGATACCAGAAAAAAATTCTTGGCAGAGACATTCTTGTTTTAGAGAACCAGTGTAACAAGGAGATAGAAACCCATTATATTGGGACCAAACGAAAATTTGTTGCATGCATAGAGATTCATTTTTGTTGTGGAGAGAGTCCACGTCATGTATTATATATGCTGGCCTGGTTGGGTAACGTACGTATATTCATAAAATTGGAAATGCATCAGCAAGGAGGAATAGAATGGAATAATTGAGACACCTCTCATTCTAAATGATTCAGAAACTTTAGAAGACATTACTGCTGCAAGTGTGAGACCATAGATTTTGTTGTACACGTCCCCTTGTTCGTGGATCAGCATATATATCCAGACGAGGGCACGGTATAAATTGTCCCAACGGAGTATCAGCACTGCTGCTATGCACCAACATAACGATAGCAAACTTACATCACAACAGTCGTACCAATGCCAACATCCCTGAGAATGCCGGAGAGAATTGATGCTCATGCACATACAAGGAGACCCGCATATGTACTCATCCCCAATTAAGAATTCCATCCCCATCCAAAATGAATGATCAAGGTTGAACTGATGAAATTCGCTAGAAGACTATATCATCCACAAGCAATTCTACCAGTATGAAAGCCTTCTCCCATCAGCAACCATTCCCAGTTCGATTCTATTTCTGATTTTCATTGTTTATTTGTTAGGTGTGCCTTCACAATTACAGCATACTTTACAAAAAGAGCAAAATAGAAGGGATTCTGAAATAAGATAAAACACAATTGACAATCTCTTATACCATGCTTTTATTCTCAGTTTCATAGTGGATCTATTTGCAGGAATGTCAATAAATGGGAACACCAACACTTGATCTCATCCAGATTTGAACAACAAAATGGCAACTTGGCCAAGGTAGAAGTAGATGAAGTGCCTTGTCTCATCAGTTTCATAGTGGATCTATTTGCAGGAATGTCAATAAATGGGAACACCAACACTTGATCTCATCCAGATTTGAACAACAAAATGGCAACTTGGCCCAGGTAGAAGTAGATGAAGTGCCTTGTCTCATGTGTCACATAGCTGCCAAAGTTACGGCCAACAATGCAGTGCCATGTAGGGTTATACTTCTTGTCGAATTCCTTCTTGATGTAAGCAGCAATATCCTGAAAATAACAGGTGTCAGGATGCTTGCTTTGGGTCTAATTCATCTGCACTCACCTTTTCAATGTTGTACTTCTCCAGGGCCTGATTTGCGATGTCCACGGAGTCCTGCTGCATCTCCTCCGGCATATCAGCGTTCTTGATCACCGCCTTGCGTTCAGTCATCCTCAATTCTTTCCGCACTGCCTGATCAGACACGCAGATGCATGCACGTCACACTTCGCAGCTTGAGCAAGACTGCAATCCACCAGCCAGAGCGCTAAGGGTTTTGGAGCACAAAGAAACGCTGTGACTGGTCGAATCGAGCTGGCTTTTCCTGGGGTCTTCTCCACGGATGCGAGGTTGCCAAACGAAATGCCATGTCTGATAGTAAGCCTGCCTTAGGAGTAATTGTGGAATGTTCAGACAGTATTTGACATCACTGTCGGCTGCGCCGCGGCGGTGGGCAGGGCCAAATACAGAATGCATTGAACACTGGGACAGTATACGACTGCTCTTTGGTTTTTTCAGTTCGAATTTCCACCGCTCGCATCCGTGATGGCGGCGTTCTTGATAAACGTTGCATTGTGGAAGCGGTCCACGTCTGTGGCATCAGTTCCGAAGAGGGTTTTCGATGGTGACACCTCCGTGTTGGTCTGTTCCTCGGGATTCCGCAAAAAGTGACCGCCGCTGTGCTAGGTTAGGTTATGTTAATTTAAAATACTCTGCTCTTAACCAATCTTACCGATTGAAGACTGATACAGAGACAGATATGGTATTTTCCTCTGCGCGCGTGTCGCTCACCATTGCATGAATTTCGGGGGCATAGTATCCTTAGAACCACGGTGGAAGTCACTTTTTGCAGATTTCTGAAGAACAGAGACCGCGCGAGTGTTGACATCGCCGAGCCTCCGCCCAAGAGAACACCGTCGATTGAGACAAGACCCTTGTGGGTTTCAGTACAGTACTGAATTACAGTGGGCCCCCGACTTACGACGGGCCCATGTCACGTCAGTTTCAACATACAACGGTTTTTTTTATTTAGAAAAACCCGAACTTACGTCGGGGTTTCATGATACGACAGAAATATAATAGAAATCTTATTAGAAAATACTCCCAAAGACCTGAAAAAATTTTATAACAATGAGATCCATGGTATTTTGGGCATTCGGGACTAAAATTTTGTGGGAAACAGATAACAGATGCAAGTACAATACTTCCACAACAGATGTATGAAGAATCGCCCACATTTTCAATTTGTTTTGATGAAATGATAAAGAAAATTAAAAAATTGAAATACTATTCTCTTATTTAAAAGATTTGATTTTTAAAATCTTCTAAAAATATACTGATTTTACTGAAGTATAAGCCAAAAATTTCTGACAAAAAGTTGAAATGTAAAGGTAATTTTAGTTTAAGATTCTTTTTCTGGAACAAATTAATTTTTTCATAATGTAACCTTAAAGGAAATAGGGTTTCAACTTATGACGGCCCCATGTTACGATGTCCATCCTGGAACGGATTGCTGACGTAAGATGGGGGCACACTGTATACATTATCAAAATATGTTAGTTTACGTTAGTTCCATAGGGCCTATTCTGCCTCCAGCAGGGACACGCTGCAGTTCCTTCTGCGGGAATCCAATTCGCTGTTTTCGAAGTTAAATTTTCTTCCCTCTATTTATCCCAGACCTCTAACATATTTTATGGTAGTTTTATCCCACCTAAGCCTTGGATAGATCCCTGATGGCTTACTTGACAAAATGTCTATACAGCAGTATAAGTTTTAAAAAACAATTTTGTCAAGTAATCGTTACTTTATAATAACTTTGCAGGTGAGCTCTCTCTACATAATCACCTGGTCTACAACGACATTGCTCACGGATCACAACATCCTCCACAACAAAATTCTCTATACCACAAATTTGCCTATTTTCTTTTAATTTCAATTGTTACACAAGAGAGTCGACCTGTGAAGATAATTTTACCTTGTTGAAATAAGCTTCTCAACTTTCGACTTTTTTGCAAAGTGTGAACATTCCTTCAATGATTTTGATGACAGAGCATTCCCTGTGTTCAGCAGACCAGAAAATAATAAGATGAATCAATCCATGGTGCGTAATAGGCGGCAAGTTTCTTTTTAGTTCGTGAACAAATTGACAGGAATCCATCCTCACTTGCCTAACCATACCCATTAGCTTCCTCTTGCCCATTGAAATAATGCCAAGTCGCATTAAAGAACCGCGGCATCTTGACTTTGTTTCAACAATGTGGTTGATGGTTCCATGTGAGGTGAATCACCAGCAAGATGCATGAAACCATCATCTGCTAGGATGCAGATACCGCTGTCTCCGATATTACCCCAGTCACAGAATGGGGGAATTTCGAGTACAGTATTTTCTTTCTGTGAACGGACATCCCCAACTTCTTCCCCTGTAGCAGGAGCCAGAAAACCGGATGCATTTACCTCAAATCATACCAAAGCTTGTACAGTTATCATAAAAAGATTCAATTAATGAAAATCGTTACACACAAGAAACAGGGTCTCTCAGCAGTGGCTGGCTCTCAGTAATAAAAATTAATTTGACATGCCAAGTAAATTGAGTCTTTATAGAAGCGGGTACCAAAGAAATTGAAACCTCTAAGGGTCTAAGTCATGCAGTTCGGCCAACTTTATATTCGAAGATAAGTTCTGCGAGCCACCTTTAAAAGACTCGCGGGTAGGTGAATGACAACATCAAAACCAACTGTTCTACGTGTCCCATTCAGTGGTTAACGACTTCCAGGGTATTCCTTGTTCGACTCAACAGGAACCCGCACGCGCGCTCGCTTTGAATAAAATAATTGAAATGGAGGGGTGCTTCAATTACTGCACGCAACAAACGTTGAAATTCGGAATGTAATCGCAATTTAAAGATGCAATCCTTATGGGACGACGTGTGAGCCAGTAAAGAGAGCGTCATTCCAACTTAAGAAACAGAACATCTTATCATAGGAAGGGTAGCCTCACATCTGCCATCCATTGCATGCCTCCGAAGAGTGCAAGACACACTCGAAAACCGATAGCTGAACGCCAACTTCTGAGATTCCTTAACAGCGTATCATATAAAAATCGTACTCCCGAGAACCCAGAGCGTAGATCACTTGAATACACTTCACCTGAGTGTGGTAAACTTGAAATCATTTCATGATCAAGTGAATGAAAACGTATCATCAAAATTCACAGGATATAGGCGACTTCATAATTTACCTTAGAACGGTGACGACTGACGATGGACGCACGGCACTTCAGGAGACGTTACTTTTTAGGACCGAGAATCCACATCCTCGCTATTCGCTAGGAACTAAGGTAACCTCAAAATCTGCAAGAGGAAACAATTAATACCCGTGAAGAACATACACTCACAACATACCAAGACAACACGTGGTAATTTCGTTCCTCAGTGTGGTAAACTCCCGATCATGAAATACAATCACGTCGTATAATGGAATAGTCAGTCTCATCATTGAAATTCAAGTATGAAATACAGCATAGAAATAACATGGACGTACCAATAGGAACCAGCGAAATTTGGTACTCGGAGGAGAATTTCTGTTCTCCCGACGATAAATTCACAGTGTATTATATACACAGCTTTCCACAGATTCCCATTCCGCGAATCCTGTGAAAGCAGACCAAAGGATTGAAGATCCCTCCACAATGAATCCAGAATCAGCAACATGCATTGATGGGATTTTCAATCGTGTGGTGAACTCCGGATAACTTCGGTCAAGTATGACGAGTGTATGACAAACGTGGTACGTCTCACGAGCATGCATCATAGAGAGTAAAAATAGAACGTGCTTATACACATCATCCAAAAAAGACCATATCCTGGAGGAGGCAGCTCACGCAAACTGCACCCATTTCTTGAATCTCACATGAATCGAGAATTCCGGAAGATCACAAAATTTTGATAAAATACCCATTCATAATTAACCAGGAAAGAGAGAACTAGATTCATGTTCTATACTTCGGATGAGTCAACTTCAGGGCGTCTATATAATCATCGCGGTACTGAAAACCTCCGTGCTTATATGAACTTAAGGGAAACCCCTGCTATGTGAGAGCTGTTTATATACACAGTATAGACAGATGACACGGTACAGTACAGTACTTCCAGATGGCAAAGTAAAACTTCGTACTCACTTCCTACTTCTCATCTAAACTGAACAGAAACAGGACAGCTCGTCGTGCTGTATACATCAGAAGTTGCATTGTACTAATCATCACCACATCTTCATTCATAGATGCTATGAAACTCACGCTGAAGTGGTTTTAATTGTAACATTAAAAGTTATTTTAGCAAGTTATGACAGTTGATAGGAAATATATGCTGCACGGAAAAAAAGATACCAAGAATAAGCGAAGATGAATAAGCAACTTGGATTAAGAGGAATATCTGAAAAATACATTATCAGCATACATCTTCAATAAGTATTGAAAGACTGAATGAGTGCATCACGCGTATCTGATGATTTCAGCCATTGACTGCTTATTCCAGCTCCAGTATACAGTATTCTTATTTCGGAAAATGCATGAGATCTTTTATGATAATTGTCATTGAAAATCCCTTTAGTGAAATGATTTGAAATTTGAATTTTCATGCAAAATCCTGAAAGCTTCATTTTACAAAAAACAGTGGATGACATTCCAAGTAGAATTTGTAGGATGTCTTTTTATACGGGAGGTACTGCAAATGTTGATGTGGCATAAAGAAAGAGCTACAGTTGAACCTTGCATGATAACTCGAACCTCCCTCCATAATACCTACCTAAGTAGGTTTTTTCTTTTAATTTTGGTCTGAATGCCCTTATATCACTAATGTAATCAAAACCTCTCTAAGTTGAATAATTTTCCTCTCCAACCTCCCTAACTTGAAATTTCCGAGGCATTTTGGCCATTATTTCCTTCACACAGGATCAAAAGAGAAAATCAATGAAAAATCGAACTTGAAGTGCTTTGAGAGGAAGAGAAAGACTAATTGGGCAATTGAACCCTTGCATCCAAGTTCAGAATTGTGAACTCATTTAAAATCAATTTTAGGCCCAACATATTAATAATTATAATTTCTGGCATGTCTTCATCTATCCTTCCCACAACAAAAATGCTTGTTTCCCCGCCTAAAAACCTTATTCCCATCTCCTAACATCCCAAAGTGGAATTTTTTCTGATCCCTTGAAATGTTACTTCAAGAGGCTTGACTGTACAGTATATCCAAAAACTCCAGTCAAAAAATATTTTCACAGAACATAATTTTCAGCAGATTATATTGAATTTTGAAAGGTACTTTGAACTTATTGATTTAAACTTCTGAAATTTGCAATCAGTAAAATATACAAAAGGAAGGTTGTTCTTCCTCTTCTAAATACAGCACCTTGCTGACAGTCACCATCATCAGCAACTGATGCAAAAGGAATTGATGGGATATTAAAACCTCTTGGATGGAAGTACCATTATGTGACTTGCAACACATGCAAACTGGACCAGCCCTCCCTGCGTATGACATCCTCCCCAGCACCCTATATTTTCAGCCTAAATTAGACTGGACTGAAGAGGTGATGTTTATCTGGTCATTGGGTCAATGATTCAGTCCTGTACACATGGACTATAGAGATTAGAAGGCGCACGTGGTTTTTTTTTTTATTGGCTGAGAACTTGCTGTTCACTTGGATTTGTCCTTTGCCAGCTGTACTTCAAGATGATATGCTTCTTTATTACTGTACTTCCATAGGGGAGAGATAACCATTCAATCAACTTGGACGCAGCAGTATCGGTCTGCTTTTTTCTACCTTAAACTTTTTAGAGAACGGCACTTTACAATAAATTGTGCATACATCCAGGAGGAGTCAATGCAGTACAGTAAATGTATAAGAGGCTAAAAATTGAAGTATGATTCCATAATGAAGCATTGATACCACTAACACAAACCATAGTATAGCTATATACACAACCATCAATTCATTCACTGCAATAGACCTAATTATACAAATGAAAATGATGAGCCAAAAATGGATGCTGCTAATGAGATGACTATACACCTTGAACCAACACTTATTCCCTGCAATTATAATGCTGTCCCATAATGCACTAACTATATACCCAAGTTACTGTCAGCTTGATGTACCCCAACCTCCCAATGATGTCTTATATAGTGGATCTTCCCATGCATTGGAAGTAATATAAAAAATCATGAAATAAGATGTACACACAATTGACACATATCTCATGACGCTTTTATTGTCAGTTTCATAGTGGATCTATTTGCAGGAATGTCAATAAATGGGAACACCAACACTTGATCTCATCCAGATTTGAACAACAAAATGGCAACTTGGCCCAGGTAGAAGTAGATGAAGTGCCTTGTCTCAGTCACACTTCGCAGCTTGAGCAAGACTGCAATCCACCAGCCAGAGCGCTAAGGGTTTTGGAGCACAAAGAAACGCTGTGACTGGTCGAATCGAGCTGGCTTTTCCTGGGGTCTTCTCCACGGATGCGGGGTTGCCAAACGAAATGTCATGTCTGATAGTAAGCCTGCCTTAGGAGTAATTGTGGAATGTTCAGACAGTATTTGACATCACTGTCGGCTGCGCCGCGGCGGTGGGCAGGGCCAAATACAGAATGCATTGAACACTGGTATACGACTGCTCTTTGGTTTTTTCAGTTCGGATTTCCACCGCTCGCATCCGTGATGGCGGCGATCATCCTTGAGTTAAGTTGCGTCCACGGTTTTGGCGTAGTGCGGACTCTTGCGTAGCATAATTGTATTCACAGTATCTGGAGGGTGGTATGCTCGTCTGAGAGAGTGCAAGAAGGGATATATCCCGTTTTCGGTTGAAGCTATTGTGCGCTTGTTTTTTTTTCGAAAATTCAAGCCGGCAATTCCGGAAAGGGCTCCTCGATTTCAATAATTCACTTCGAGGTGCGTTGAAGAGGTAGCAGTTCGTCAAAAAAAGTAAAATACTCACACTTCGTGAACCGCGTCACCTTTCAACCTAGTGCAATATTAATTATCTGTTCCCGTGAATGTACCCCTCTATTCAGCGTGGTTCTATCGACGATGCTACGTATCGGTGTGGAAAGTCTGTGATCTCGGTACACTAACCGCCGAATCTGGATCTCTCCGCAGTGTGTGTGTGTAAGTGCGTACCTCGTCGGAAATATTGTGTATTTAAAGGAGAAATTCAGTGAAGCAAGAATAGGGCTTATTATGAAAAGATGAAATTGAATGCATAAATAATTTCCCAGGAATGATGTTGTTCGCAATTTTTGTTTTCGTTTCTGTGTTGTACCCGGAGGGTCTATGTTCCGCTGGGAAAGCCGTTTTCAGTGCTCGGGTCGAGGTAAGATTCCGATTTGCACCTATGAGAGTAATTTCAGAATTTATGTTTTCTCAGAGCTGCGGTGGATGACGACTAAATCGGATGCCGGAGGTGAAGGCTTTCATCTACGACGACATTCCCATGTTGTATCCTTTTCAAACTGCTTTTAAAGTTGTTGCAAATATTCATTCATTTGTGTTGCCAAAGGTTTCCAGACGTTGTGCACAGTTTATTTCTACGGTAGATCACATTTTAGAGATGCAACGTGTTGTTCTACGAGTGCGTTATCAATATGACGAAGAAATTCATTTTCAGGCCAAAGTTGATGCCATGAAAACTCATTCGTTGTCGATGTGATGATTTGTGGGGAGGAAAAAACTTATGAAACGTGAATTGCCTTGATATATCGCAGTCATAATGTGGAGTTCAAGTCCATTCCTGGAGCAGACCCTGTGATCAAGCTGCTGGACGCGGAGAAGAACGTCCTCAAGGAAGTTCAAATATCTGACATGTCGCGTGAAAAAATCAATGCATTGATGCAGAATTTCGGATTCTTCAAGAAATCGCAGCCGGGAGAACCCGTTCCGAGCGAAAAGATCTCGGGACCTTATCATGTATTTTCTGACGATCTCTGAAACATTTCTGGTGACTCCCCCGTTTTTTTGCCCGAGCCGTTATGATTTCGAAGGTGCGAAAGTCCCTATGCCTCTTCGACTGATGCTAGCTTGGGAAGACGGGGAGAATTGCCGGGGTTTTCGCGAGTGGTGTTGACTTTGTGCGTTTGTTTTATCTTCGGATTAAAACGGTTGTTTTCCATTTTTAGTCACCCAGTTTATTGAAGTAATGTGATCTCTTTCTGTGTCCATTATAGTAGGTCGCCTTGTTTTCACTGATGACGCAAAATTTTGGAAGGTCAAGGAGCGTCTTGATTCCGAAGTTCTGTGCTTTTGCAGTGATCAGGAGGTGGTAGGATGGCCCTATTTTCCGACGAAACGCTGTATGAACCCTGGGGTCTTTTAGTGAAATCAGGATATTTCTCTGAGTACATGGAAGATTCATTGGCAGAATAACATCACATTGTGAGTTGATTCCCCAGTCTGTGCAGTTGCTGAATTATTAGGGCATGCCCGTTGAATTATCCGCTCCAGTTCCTGCTCCACTGAGAATCAGAATTTTGTTTTGCTCCAAACTGACATGTACTAAATTCTGCTGATCACCTTTATAGAACTTGTTTTCGGGCTTCCTACTGAGATCTTCTACGGACGTAGAAATCATTCACTGCTTGAACTGTAGTTGATCTTGCAAGTTAGCCTAGTTTTCTACCACGCCAACTGCGTACACACAGCTCGCAGTCGCTTCGAAATCAGGCAACTTTTCCATGTAGGAAAAGTAGTAGGATCACCTGAACGTAAAGACTGGGGCATTTGAGTACGGAAACTCCTTCACAGCGCGCGGATACTTGAAAATGAGAGAGGTAAAAATTTTTTTTGAAAGACTGTCAACAATATCCGGACCTTAACCTTTTCTTCAAATTTTTTTTGGCAAAGGAAACGGTTTTGGGAAATATAGTGGCGTAAATTACATGCATAAGCGGAGTTTGGGGGAAATAGGTCAGAAAATATAGGAGATGAACGCCATTATATCGAACTTAACTTCTACAGGGGATCTCGACTTTGGATGTGTGCGACACTGAATGTGTGTCGTAATGTTTGACTGATGTAGCTTGCTCTGGTGTTTTCGCCTTAGGTTTGTCGATTTCCAGGCTTATGGTGGAGATTTTGGTGACTTTGAGACAACAAAATGATATCTACAGTCAGGGATCAAGATTAATTACTGCAGATACTGAACTGTATACGTTTCGGCTAATTTATTATTGGTCGAACATGAGCAGTGAGCTGTACTTGTGTGTGTAATAATGTGTAATACTGAAGTGGCACCCTATTTAACAACAGATCGCATTTGAAGATAGTCCGAAATTTGTGCTTGGGCTTACTTCTTAAATGAATGATTTTCTTGAGGATATAACTGGTTCCTAAGGTTCGAAGAATGATGTAGCATTGATGGGAATGTTTGGATGGAAGTTGCATTAAAAAGTTATTCTGCTCTTGAATTGTCAGGTTGCTGGAAGTTCCTTCCAAATTACTAGAGTTGGCAGTTGTAGTGTGTACAGGAGAACTTGCATGTCTTCTTTTTGGTCTCGTGGGGCTTTCAACAAGGTTTTTCTGGTCCATTGAATTTGAATGTGAAGAGCCCCCAGCTCTGGAGCTGCACTGTACTCTGAATCGGGCAAAATAAATTTTCAGCGCTCTATTTCCATGCTGGGTAAAACGAGGCGGCTGTTCAAGATTATTCCCTCGTTAACTTGTTCTGTACTGCTGTGCATGGATGAGAAGAGTAGAAAACATGTTCCTTCTACTGTCCTTGGATGCATACTGATAGTTGACGTCAGCCGAGGCAAGCAAGTCTGCTACTGCGAAGTGTATAAAAGCGCGGAATATCCCGTTACGTCAAGTATGTTATTGAAGCCCGTCAGACGGCACGATGATGTTTGCTGAAAGGCTGTCATAGTCGTACGTTATCGACGCGGAAAGAATCAGACGAGGAAATGCCGGTGTCCCATCAGTACAGTTGTTTATTTTAACAAGTCTCACAACCATGAATGCCTTCGCAATGCAGTCGCGCAGGAACAGAAAGGCACCCAGGTTTTTAAGGCTCGCGACACCAACAAGGAAGGCAACGCTGTGGAGGATAAATGCGTCGACACCAGCCCGGGGAGCTTTAATACCGTGAACAGTCCCGGTTTCACAAAACCTTTTTTAAGCGTAAATCTCACTCAGACTCCCAAGTACACTCTGTCAATCCCTGTGCAACAAGGCCAATGAGTTTATCCAGTCTGAGGGCCAATGGGCCACTTGCTAGCCCCTTCCCAACAACATCAAAAGTGGTCTCAACAAAAGGGGGGCAACACGCCTTGGCACTTGCATGGCTCTTGCTTCTGGTACATTGAAGTGCATCCACTAGGTCTGATCATTCGACTTCTACCGCTAGGGTTTCGCCTTTTGGCGGAAAAGCGTACTGCACTTCAACTCACCAAGCAAGAGCTAGTCGATGCCAAGGAGTGTGTGAGATAGATTCCAGAGGGCAAGCAAGTCACCCGTGAGGCCAGTGAAAGGGTCTGAGAAAGAGCACACCACACCATAACCTGCAGTTTGTACAAAATGGCTGCCCGTACACGGCACAGGGCATCAATGCCGGAAGACTTGTGGGATTTCGTTGCTTTCACGAGAGAAGGAAAACAACCTAGAATTGCACATCTGGCCAAGGCTGGACGACGCCCAGCGACACAGTCACTCCAGGGCACACAATCTAACGGGTTGGAAGGAGACGTGCAATGCTGCGGACTATGGCTTGAGCTCTCTTGGCTGGGTCACACACTCCCTCAACAGCCATAACATGTACTGTACTATGAACCCAAGCTGCTAATGCAACATAGCGTCCCAGGTAGTGTGGTTGTAACCCAACCATGGGAACTCTTGTCATGGGGGGACCACAGGACATAGCCCCACCTGAGAAGATTGACCTATACATCCACCAAGATCCATCCAATCACATTCAAATAATGCTCAACCGCGACACCAGCAACTCACTCAAAGGTACAAAACCTGGACAAGGAGAATACTGTGGCCAACTGAGAACACACTTCATTTCTTAACAAAGGCATGGGAAAGCTATCGGTGTCGAACTCTACCAATCCGCTGCGTCATTTGGGTTTTTGCAGGGTCTTCAGGATCCACTGATTGAAAGCTCTTCTGGTGCCAGCACATGTTTTCCAGTCCACAAAATCCTGTCGCCAAATCAATCATCTTGTGAAAAAGTCCAAAAAGGGCCTCCTGAATACCAAGAACACCGCACCACACAGCATAGCACACGCCACAGTTAGAAACAGGATACAGTATAGTAATGGTTCTTCTTGACTCCTAGCTCTTCATCGAAGCCACACAATACTGTACCCTCCGAAGTTGCCACGCCTGTGCCTCACGGCCACCTACGCACATCCTCGCTCACTACCATAGCGGCCTAGAGCATCATCATCTAGGAACGCTCGAAGTCCTTGAAATTTCTTTCAAAAAATTCAGTAGAAATGAACGAGAATTTTCCACCAATCCGACTTAGACCACTGGTGATAGCTAGCGTCCATCAAGTGGCAAACAATCGGCACAGCCCATTTGTTGTGATATCCACAGAATAATACTGAAGGTAAAAAGCTCGGAATTCGTGATTTGAGAAGTATAGTACCGGAGCACTTAACTCAGCGCTCGTCACTCAACGCAGAGACATACAAAAATTCTTAGTTTCAATAATATTGAACTTACAAAATATTTTCAGTTGAAGATCGCACACGGCATGGCAGGGCAACACAAATGTGAAATTCGTAATGAATAGGACGGAGCACTGAAGTTGAATTTTCAGAAAAAAGCCCAGAAGCTTTGAGGGAAGTAACTCATCGGTAACCACTGGTCGAAACTGAAAACCTCCCATCTATTAATAGACCTACGGAGCTTCAAGCCTTAAATTAATCTGAGCACGAATTTTCAATCAAAATAGAGACACGCATACTTTTCATCGTAAGAGTCAATCTAGATGTAAGTACTGTACAGCAATCTCAAATGAGAGGAATTCAATGAATTATGACTGTAAACATACCTAATTCTTCGATAACAAGCCTTGGATTTCTGATATGCACATCACGCGTCACCAGCTCAGATCTCGATAAATCCACAGCGGAATGTGCGGGCAAGGAGTGTGGTTCGGACAAGATGCAATGCTAAACTCGACACACTCTCGCACGACTGGGTTTTGTAAATCCTGGGTTCAATGTTTCATGCAACAGGAGAGAGAGATGCATTTCGATGCCTAAACTCACTCACTCCCACAGCACTTCTAAACCCGTTGCAGGGTGCGAAAAACTCACAGAAGTGCGCAGCACCAAGACATCCCACCTTACACCTGAATTCCCAGAACTGTAACACAAGAAACAAATTCGGCATCAAACGTCTGGCAACGTCATGCGGAACTCCGGGTACTGACTGACTGCATGCTCAGGGGACCAACTAAACACCACACGGCAAATACAATCACATAATTCTGAAATAATGTATTTTTCCGCTCCTTTGGAAACACTGGCTGCAAGACGGAGAAAAAACGAAGGAAACTGAAGACCCATAAGAATTACCCTCAGAATCCAAACAAGGTCTTCACAAGCGTCCCCCCCCACCCCACAAAAAACGACAAGTCAAACCATTAAACAAGACCTTGTTTGGGTCTACATCTCACGGCAAACCCAGAGAGTTCCCTCCGTGATAGAGCCTTAAAAGGCCGAGGTAGACCGGTTTGCCAAGTGAGACCACGAGGGCACTTCGGGTGGAATTTTGCGGGATAGAGGAATGGATGCACACAGCCGCGACGCGGTTAATCGCACTGCCATGCCCACGCACACAGGACCAGGTCCCTGACTAAGTTTTGATCGAGCAGCCTTTTAAAATTTGCGCGAAGGGAGATCCTGTAGTTAGTGGAAGGGACAGTAGTTCTGTAGTTCCGGGGACAAAGAGCCGTCGAAGCAGGCGATGAGGGAGAAGTAGGCGACCAGGGTATAGAGGAGCCAGAGGGCGAGGAAGAGGAAAGACGAGGCGAGGAAAATCAACAGGCTGGAGCGTTTCCGGGTTCGATGGACGATACGGATGGAGTTGAGGGCGTGCTCGGCGACGACGAAGGCCTCACCGTCGGAGAACTTCCGGGCCACGAACTTGAGCGACTCGTCCAGCAACAGCACCGGCAAACTGATCTTCATCACAGCCATCCATTCCGTGACGGACAAGGGCGTGATCTGGAACACACTCTACAAACACACGCCACAACGCCATTATCCATCAGTACAGTACTGTACTAACAACATACTATCCATGTCTTTCAACAAAACGATTGAAATACCTAACTAACCACGTGAGGATACAGAAATCTCTAGCCTCAAAAATAATCACGATTTAAGTCAGAACAGAAACTGTATCCGACTGAATTCAATTTCATTACACGTTGTTACTTTAAAAAAAGTACATTAGCATACAACATAGATAGCTTACATAAAATGAAAAATGAATCAGACATTCATTCAGAACGAATAATAGTTTCAGTGCACTCACCGACAAGATCTCAATGTGCAGGATCATGAAGTGGAGAGTCATAGACAGGGAGATGGCAGACACGAGCCAGAAGTTTTGCCATGGGGGCATCAACACAAGGGACTGGTTCTCAGACAAGCTGTTCAAGGCGTTGCACATCTCAATGGTGACCAAGACAGACAAAGCCATGGTCATTGGGTGAGGGTCTCCGAAGACGCTGCAATCAATGCCCTTGAAGGACTCCGTGTCAGTGAGGCATTGCAGATGGTGTGTGAGCTATAAAAAAAAAGGAGAAACCCCACCGAGAACCCATTGAACCTCCGAGATACCTCCCCTCACGCAACAACACTCACTTGGTAATAAGTCATGTGTGGCCCATTTGGTGCATACATGTACCACCAGGCAGAGGCCCCAACAGTTCCTGCACCGACATATCCACCAATAGCCATGTACCTAAAGAACAACCATCCAGAAATAAGGCCTTCATCAGCTCGTCGTGGTGGCTTGGTCATGATGTCCAAGTCCGGTGGGTTGAAGCCAAGAGCTGTGGCTGGGAGTCCATCAGTGACCAAGTTCACCCACAGAAGCTGGACTGGGATCAAGGCCTCGGGCATACCAAGAGCGGCAGTCAGGAAAATGCTAAAAATAATGAAAAAATATATACCTTAGACACCCAGTACAATAAGAATGAAGGAGATTTGAGATTATGAGGCGACGCAAGCAAGGCAGTTGGAAGAGTTTCCATCATCACTTTTGCGACTGTGACTTACCACACAACTTCACCGATGTTGGAGGAAATGAGGTAACGGATAAACTGCTTCATGTTGTTGTAGATGGCTCGGCCTTCTTCCACAGCCTCGACAATGGATGAGAAGTTATCATCAGCCAACACCATTTCTGACGCGGACTTGGCCACAGCAGTTCCAGAACCCATGGCAATACCGATCTCGGCCTTCTTCAGAGCAGGGGCGTCGTTGACACCATCTCCAGTCTAGGACAAGACGTTATTAAATATCAATAAACAAACTGACCGTATTCAGGAGAACTCACCATGGCAGTAATTTCATTCATGCTTTGCAGGTATTCAACAATCTTCGACTTGTGTGCAGGTTCCACTCGGGAAAAGAGCCTGGACCTGGAGCAAGCGGCCCTCTGATCACTAGGTGACAATTCATCGAATTCCCTGCCGGAGTAGCTCATTCCAGTCGTGTCTTCATCTTCTCCGAAAACGCCAATCCTCCTGCAAATGGCTTCGGCGGTTCCCTGTTGAAACAAAAAAGTAGCCAACAAAAGTAAAACTACGAAAAATCTGAAAAAGTACCTTGTTGTCTCCAGTGATGACAATAACTCGGATGCCAGCAGCTCTGCACTTAACAATAGAATCAAAAACTTCCTTCCTTGGGGGATCCAACATGCCGACAACTCCAACAAAGGTCATGTTCACCTAAAAAATAAGAGAGAACATAACTGTATTCGCGGAAAGCACTAGGAATTGAAGAGAGTTTACTCACTTCATACTGATAGAACTTCGTCGAGTCTTCGAGGTTCATGTCCTCAGGCTTAACTGGATTGTCGACAGTGGCCAAGGCAAGGCACCTAAGGGTGTCTCTTCCAGTTCCGTACTGTTTGGTCAATTCCAGGATCTTGGCCTTCAGGGCAGCAGTCATGGGTACCTTGGTGGTGCCAACTCGTACATGTGTGCATCGTTCCAACACGCCTTCTGGCGCACCCTTGGCAAACATCTTCGGGGAAGTTCCCAGGCGGGTCGGCTTCAGAGGAACCACGTACACAGACATGGACTTTCGGTCTCGGGAGAATTCCAGGGTGAATTCCTGCACGAAGGCAAACAATGATACAATAACAGATTGAGTAATTACACATTTCTCATCCCCTGAACGCGGTCAAACTCCATTGCTCGTGGATAAAAATATAATCGCAGTTTTAAATAACTCCCACGCCAGAGAACTTCACATGCGTGGTGAATCGCGAGGGCTTGTTGAAACAATTGAGGAAGAACACTTTGACAATAAAGAAGCAGGCACTTCCGCTAAAAATTTACCAGGTATTCCATACGAATTATCTTCGACAATTTTGACGAATTCTAGGATGAGCTTCTTTCTTCGGTGCCAATGAGGATTTACGGGTTAGGTGAAGTGTTCGGCACAACATACCTTCTTCCACTTGCTCTCCATGTCCTGCTTGACACAAATGGCAGCGTCACGTCGGTTAAGCCCAACTTTGTTAAGGTTGTAGGGGTTCATCTTCTCTCCTAGCACAGTCAATGCGGTTTCTGTGGCCTCACCGACCTTTTCAAAGACTTTCTTAACCTGAAGATAAAATCAGAGAAAATAAGAAAAATCCAATCGAATCATTGGGGTAAAATGCAATGTAAGTTCTGAATCAACTAATGTAAATCACAAATAATTCTGTGAGCGCGAAGTTTCGTTAAAAGAACTGTCTCAGAGATTATAAAATAAATTTGAAACGCCGTGCTAGAAACAAACCTCGTTGAAATCAATGGAGGAATCGTTGCACATGACGCAGATGGTGGCCAGTTCATGGAGACAGTCAAAATCGGAGCCCTTGACTTTCTGGTTCTTCAAGAAGACTTCACCGATGGGTTCATAAGTGGATCCAGTAATTTCGAACTCCAGGAAGCTGGAATCGTTGCCTTCAACTTTGTCGAACACGAACATTCGGGAAACGGACATCTGGTTGGTGGTCAAGGTGCCAGTCTTGTCAGAGCAGATGACGGAGGTGCAACCCAGGGTCTCGACCGAGGGCAGAGATCGGACAATGGCGTTCTTCTTGGCCATACGGCGGGTACCCAGTGCTAAGCAGGTTGTGATGACAGCTGGCAAACCTTCAGGAATGGCAGCCACAGCCAGGGCAACAGCGATCTTGAAGTAGTAGATAGCTCCCTAGGCAAGAAAATACAGATTAACACTTCTTCTCGCCTAGAGAACAAGAATGCTCAGATAACAGGAACAGAAGAGGTATAAAAATTCAATGTACTCGTTAATTTTTCCTTTAAAACCTCCAAGTCCTCCTGATTTTCAAATCTGAAAAATTCAAAAATAGGGCAACGCAATTCGAAAAAAGGCTCATCTCCATTTCGGGGGAAAAACTATCACCTGAAGAGTTCATCAATATTGCCATGGCCATGAACTAGCGACTCACGGCTGAGATAGTCATGAAAAAAAGTAACGATAAAAACGGAAATTCCGATCAAGAAAGAGATATTGCACTTCTACAATTACTTAAATTTCAAGAGTTCAATTTTTCAAAAGGTATAAAGAAGTAATAATCTTCATATCAATGTCAGGCTCATTAGTCAATTATTTATTTACCTTCATCCAGGACCCTCCGTGCATGGGGTCATTGAAGTGCCCAATATTGATGGCCCAGACAGCAACGCAAATGACGGAGATCACCTTGGACAACTGCTCACCGAATTCATCCAACTTCTGTTGCAACGGGGTCTTCATCTCTTCGGTCTCAGTCATTTCGGTTCTGATTTTACCTACGAAAGACCATTCGCCAATTGAAACCCGTCTTACATCATAGTTTATATTTCGAGGATGAGAACATTTCTGGTCCAGGGGGGCTCAACGGAGTCGCATCGATGAACGAAAATTTAGATTTAAATTCTTCAGATCCTAGTCTATTTTTTTGCAGAAGCTCTTCAAAGAGAGATACAGCATGAAAACCTTTCGTTCAACTCTCAAATAACGACCAATAGGTCGCACGCAATCCTCCTACCGCAAACGTTTAGCCGGTTTATCATGAATGAGAAGATGCGACTCCTGACGTCTCTCGAATCAACATAAAAATTAAATAATTCGCCAGACCAACACGCCTTTCAATTCGTGTGATGCTCTCAGAAGCCGGTATTCCTCATCTGTCCAACTAAATAGTCTTAAGAACCCAAATTTGAAATCACAACGATGGTTGAACGATGTTACTTGTACCGGGTCTTCTAAAAGCAGATGCAATCCCCTTCTTACCAAGTAAAACCAGTATTCACCACGGGTAGACATCGTGAGCCCAGATCAACATTTTGATGAATGCAAATACCAACATATATTTCGGTTTGAAACTGCCTGAATGTTATCATCCGGGAAACCCTCGAATAATCTTATTTTACAAGGACAGTTTTCGGTTCTGTGAATCATGAGGAGGGCTCCTTGAATTTCCAGGGGACAGACGCTTTCGAAAATGGACAACTTGTGGTGGTCACCACGAGGCGAACTTACCAATAGCAGTGTCCAAACCAATGGCCATCACAACACCCCTGGCTTTCCCTGCAGACACATTGGTGCCGGAGAAAAGGATGTTCTTCTTGTCCTGGTTCACGGCCTTCATGTCAGGGATCGCATCTGTGTGCTTGATGACCGAGACTGATTCTCCCGTCAGGATGGACTGGTCGATCCTCAACGTCGTGGAGTAGATCTTGATGATGCGCAAATCCGCCGGGATCTTGTCACCGACTATCAAAAAGAGTTACAACCCACGGGTCAACAAAACACTCCTTAATCAACGCCACAAATCGGATGATTAATTCATGATGAGAATCGGAAAAAGCAAATGTCCCGAGTTTGTTTTACCTGAGATCTCAACGATATCTCCGCAGGTGATTTCCCTGGCGCGGATTTTCTGCACGCCGGCCTTGTCCTGCCGAACAACCTTCCCCATCTCTGGTTCATATTCTTTCAACGCTTCAATTGCAGATTCGGCATTTCTTTCCTGAAATTTTTCAAAACATTTACCATTACTTCTGAATAAGCTACAACGACAACGAGACAGGAATTTGCACACAAAAACAACCATTCTTCGCGTTCAGTTCTTTCGGCAAGAAGAAGTTGAATTCCTCAAAATATGACACCTAGCATTGGTAAACTTGTTCTGAACTTCGCAGGCTCCCGATTCCGACGAAAAATCTACCATCCCGAGGAGCACATGAAATCAGAACAAGGAGTGAAGTAAAGACCACCGAGGTAACCAATGCTCGTCTTATCCCTCAAGGCTCTGCATTCTTGGTAAGATAAATGAACTGTACGTAAGAATATTCATTTATTGGCAGGATGAATAAAAAAAATGTCATTTTCCCAGTGGGCTTAGAAGAAAGTGAATCCTCGATAAAAACAGTTCAAGATCAACCTCGGATTACAAACTAATTCCAATGCCGTCTTTTAAATTTTTCGGCGTCACAAAAAAGTGTGATGAAGAATTCTGAAGGGTGTGGAACTTGATGAAAATCGATGCTCAACGTGACAATGATCAAACTTCCAACTTTGATAATCGATAAAATTCTAGAAGTTACCATGCAGAGAGTTTACGGCGAATGTAGATCATGTGTAATATCTTCGGTTATACATCTGCCCTGGGTTCAGGAATGTTCCATAAAAATTGTGTAACAGCATTTGTCAAGTTATGAGCACATTTCGCCGGACTGTTGCTCGTTCGTAGTGAATTTGAAACCGCCTCCAGCATTCATCGCAGCCATTATTTTCACATCATAATTGAATAAATGAATTCAACAGGAATCGTTCAATCCATTGCAAAAAGCTAAATATTTACCATTGAGTACATCATAATTCCACAACACGTCTCGGAAATGTCTTTCGATATACTTAGTAGTATTTTCGTCCAGAAAAGCTCGAAATTCAATTTCACTTCGAAATCACGAATTTAAGTCCGAATAAATTAAAAATTCAACGGAGTGGCGAAGTTTTCGTTCTTGAACCCTGCTCTCGGGGAACAGGTGTCTAGTTTCTTCAAACTTAGATCTAAAAAAGCACCGACGTTGTTCGAAACCAAACGAGACCAGATCAAATCAGGAATACAGTACTTGCTTTACACTTTGATTTCTGCGTTTTTTTTTCTTATCCAAGTTACACAGGTTAGCGGCTTTCACCTTGATAGCGTGAGGTTAATTTTTTGAGCAAAAAAATTGGACCCATTGTTTGAGCTTCACTCTCTGCATTGCCTCATCTTAAATCTAGGAACCCAAGAGAATAAAAAAAAAAGAAACTAGACTATACTTGACCAACAACAACAACTTCCAGTTATCTCCAGATTTTATCCGTAACTTGACTAGTCTATCAAGCTCTTGCCCTCGGAGCCGGAACTTCGAACAAGAACGGCATTTTATCGAATGAAATCTCCAGGTTTATGAGTTCATAAGGATTCCGTTCAAGCCTCGCGGCTTCGAGGACCCGATACTAGGAGTCTATAGGTAATTCAGTTCGAAAATGCACCCCCTTGTTCTTAGCCCCCCAATCATAACCGCGGAGGGCAGAAGATACATATACAATTACGGGAACCCCGGAGGATATGCAGCGAAAACGGGTTCAGATCGAAGTACCGAAGAATTCCAAGCTCGCAAAAATGGACTCGCATCAATAATCGCTGCTCGGGGACGAAAAGTGAACGCTGCATACAGGATTTTACTGTCAGAGGGGCTCTTCATAGCATTCAGGTCTACCATGACCATAAAAAAATCCATTGAGAGAGGAAATTTACCAACGTAACACTGATCTCCATGACTTAATATTCAAGATGTGCCGATACACAGTACCCAAAACAAGCAATGCAGAATGGTAACATCAACGTCGCATCCCTGACCTCTCTTCGGATTCTAAAATGAGACTTGCAGTGCATCAAGCCTAGTGGATTGCATGAACTTTCGTCTCATACTTTGGATATCGTAAATGACAAGAGAAGAATCGATACGAGGGCTCAACACGTTCTTAAGGTAGAAGAGGAAAAAACAAGAGAAGAGTTGGAAGAGTTTAGATATGGGAGGTACGTTCCTCTTGACATGACACTCGATCCTAGTTGAAGTTCCCGTCCGAGAGGAGCCAAGAAGACAGGGGTGGGCCCCGGCCCGCATCCGTCATCGAAAGCAAAGGGAGCATGCGCGGGGAACTCCAGGCCGCCCAACGCGCCCCGAAAAAGGCGCCCAGTCCGCGCGCCAAGAAAACAGGGTAACAGTTGCCAAAAAACCGAACGCTCCTCACCTGCCACACGCCCACGACGGCGTTTGCGATCAAGATCAGCAGGATCACGAATGGCTCCACGAACGCCGTCACCATGTCGTCGTGATCCTCGAACAGCGCCAACACCTACCGCGGAAACATTTTGGTCACCAATCACGGAAACACTCGCGGAGAGCTGACCCCCACTACTCACGAAGGAGATGATAGCCGCAAGCAGCAAGATCTTGACGAGCAAGTCATCGAACTGCTCCAGGATCAACTGCCACAACTGCTTCCCTTCTTCCGTAGGCATCTCTGCATTCAACACGCACATTCAACAACACTTTCATTCCGAATTTATAGATCGGACTAACCGTTGAATCCATATTTTTCTTGGTAAGAAGTGACCTGGGATTCTGTGAGGCCCTTCTCGGGGTCGAGTCGGAAGAACTCGCATACTTCAGACACGGTTTTGGCATGCGCGTCATCCATGGCGAGAAGAAAACCGCGGAATTCACTCAAACGGCGGGTACTGCGAAGAGACACTTAATTCTGCAAGAGGGGAAAAGAAGACCCTGAGAGACAAGACGAGGACCGAAGCTGCGCGGAGACTGACGGAGAAACCCGGGATGTGGAGTGACATGATTGGGTTTGGATAACGTGACGTCACGGTTAACACACGCCACTGCCAAGTTTTATTTCTGGACCGCGTCGTGTCTTTCTCCGACCACCGACGAGATTTTTTTCCACTACATCCATTTTCCCTTTTCCCTCAATCCACCTCAATCATACAAATTCCTACACAAGATTTCTCCACGTTTCTTCAGCCCTCCATCACTCCATCGACCTATATCCATTGTAAGAACGACTATACTGTATTTTCCCAAGATTATCGTGCAAAGCGTTGCCACGAAATAGTTGAACTTGTAATGTAAGGCATCCCGTCTGAGAAAACTGGTAACTCCACAAGGCTTTCATCACTAGTGAAAATACTAGAATCGTATCAAAGGTACACGTGCACCCATTATTACCGATGTTCACGTCTTAATCAAAGCGACATGTAACCAACTGAGAACCGGCCGCAATCAGGTCGTTCAAGAAACTTCCTACTTCATGAGTCGTATTCCAACCCTCTATTTGATTTTCAATGGATTGAAAAGAAGACTTTCTCTGGAATCCAGCGAAGGTTCAACGGATCCTTCCACTATTTACATGTCTTCAAGACATTTCGAGCACTCAACCTCCTGCGAACACCTCAGAAACTGGAATGACGGAAATTTCACATAACTTTGCCCGGACACATTCGTACCGAACGTAATGCTACGTCAGCGTAGCCAGAGAATATTCCGAAGAGGTCATGCGAAGTAAGAACGCAGCCATGGTGGACAGCGCGACGAAGCTTACGAACGCTTATTAGACGTAAATAATCAAAGAGTGCGATGATGGGCTTCGCAACTCCGGGCAAGACATTCTACACTTCCTGACCGGTGGTATTCGGAAAATGAACGTGAGCTAGACTCCCCGCGATGGTTCAGCGAGAGAACCTGAAAGCAGATGGCTGAAGTCAAACTGTGAAGACATCTTAAAAATAGCATGAAACAGGACGAGGAACAAAAATGTTCTCTCTTCACGAGCGTTTAAAGGTACTGCTTCCCGCGGAAATTTGTGGGCCAACTGAAATAAAACGGTTTCTTCTGGAACAAGTTCCCTGTACTAGGTTCCGCAAATTGACTTGACCATGGAATGAGCCATTCCTGCAAACCCCCGTGACTTATTTTCACGCTTGGCTCGTTTCGAAAATAGCATTCGTTGAGACCCTCATTTATTTCCTGCTGCAACTCTTATATAGCATCCTGCAAACTTTAAATTGTTTCAAGGCTCGTCTCCGCGCCTTCCTTCAAAATTTTCCAACCCAAGCACGCGCCCCTCGTTATTCATTATCAGTGTTTTACATCATTCGAAAATTAACACGGGTTTGTGGAAAGCCTCCATTGCAAATTTCCGCAAGAAACCCCTATACACGAATAATTTATTTCATCACTGATACGTAGAATAGGTAGGGTAAAAAAACCATCATTGTTGGGATTTATACGTAGAAGTCCCTGCTGATCGTAAGCCCCCACAGACTTCCAGAAAATTCTGACTTTACTCTGGCGTAACAAAACTATTACTTTTAGGATCTGAAGTCCTTCGAAATTCGAGACTGACGGAAAATTATGACTACACACTGCAGCTGAGGACCTTGAAAAATATTTCAACAAGATTCGCGGTATAACCTATAACGATGATATGTATCTGTCTTACTTATTGCGGGACAGCATGGACTTACATAATCTGTTGAACATTAAGACTATATATATATATATATANATATATATATATATATATATACATATTACACAGTTACAGTAGTATACACATTTGCGAGAAAAACATGCATTAGAGCTGCTTTTTACTCACAAAAAGTATGCGTTTCGCAATTGAAATTGCTGCGGCACATTAAATGAATTTACTCATCACTCCTTGACTCGTCCACACGTTACAGATAAATTTCTAGCACAATACCAAATGACTTCAAGATTTGCGGTGGACAGCATGCGTTTTGTGTCTCGCAAAGTCGTGACTGCTGGGAGAAGGAATAATTTCTCCTTCACACCACGGGAGTCAGTACTGATGCGAAAGCTGCATGAGTGATGAGTTACGCGAAGTTAATGAACTGCTTCAAAGTTTACTCTGCCCACTGGAAGGATGGGTTCTTCGTTATTTTTTTATCCTCAAGAATATATACTGTAGTTCTATACAATACTGCATGTATGTGCCCGAACACGTACCACGGATTTCCGTCTGCTGTATATGTTACGTACAGCTGGAGTACAATTCGCCAACACATGATTCCTCTCATCGTCGACGTTTCGAGAGCTTATTCAGCATCAGCATCAATGCCACGAACGAAGCGCACAAGTTGAGAGAAAATCGGAACACTGAAACTCTCCTATACATCATGCACCCTCGAACGGCTGGGTACATGTGTGAAATATCACTGCAATGGCTTCAATACAAGAAAGCCTTTTTTTTCAGCCCAGTGAGAATAAGCCGCGCACTCGAGCTGGTGTTCATGCAAGAGTGAATCACTTCGCAAGAGGAGTCACTGAACAAGTGCCATCAGCTGGATGGGACCCAGGGTATACCATACACCAGGCAGAGAAGCGCCATGTCCTCCCCGGGGGAGGGGTTGTGCCAAAAGCTCCCGGAATCCAAGGGGATTGGGCCCCAGCCAAACTTCTGTCTTTCACCCTCACTGTTCCGAGTCTACCCTCGGAAATCTTTCATAATTAATTGTTTCAATAAAATCACCACCCTGGCTCCAAGATTCTCATTTCAGGCAAATAATCAGTACTGCAGGTGATGCACCATGGGTGACGTGATGGGCGAATCAGCCATGATTCATCACAGATATGAAGGCTCTACATATATGCAATCTTATATAATGAAGGCAAAGGGGTGAAAATCCCATGATTTTGACATCACAGCTAGGGTACTGCTGCAGTATAACTCATGCCAAAAATTTTTAATTTTTTCCGTGGCAATAAAACCTCTTATGTGGAAACGCATCACAAATGCACTGCATCAGGATGTACACTACTGTATACAAAATTCCATAGCCAGCCCCAAAATTACACTTGCATCAGTCATTATAGTGCAGCAGATTTCCACCCCTTCTTAGCCTGTTTTTCATGCCTCATTTCTGCCATTGCCTAAATATAAATACCCTTGGTGCTGGGTATTAGTCACTTCATCATTTCATCCCTGCAGAAGAATTTATTTCTTGTTCATCCAATGACTGTTTTATTCGCCAATGAAATAGCAATAATAAAAGCGATAAACAGCATAAAAAAAACAGGAAGCAACAATAACACGCCAACTAGGAAGTGGAAAGTTCACACAATAACAGCAAGTGTTTAGAACAAGCAGTGCACAGAACAGTAAGTGGAAAAATAGGGAGCACCCAATGACAACTGCAGTTCTCATTGGATGCTTATTGAAGCACTATATGGCATTTGCTCCTCAAAACAGCAAAAACCAATGCAGCTGCATGAAAAAGTGAGTGCACAAAATATGAAGTGTATTACCCTAAAAATGAGCAAAGTCTGAAAATTACTGTATAACCAACTTAAATTGACCATACATGATCTAATCTGATTAAACCTAGCATAATATAATCTAATTAACCTAGCATAGTAACCTAATTGATGTATCCAAGCATAATTGCTGTATTATATATGGCTTGGTAACCACATTCATGTAACCTGACATATAACTGAAATAACTAACCAATTCCAGATGACCCAAGTCACTAGCTGACATAACTGAACTAACCAAATCCAGATAAACTGACATAACGTAACTGACACAATAACTTGACCTATCATAACAGGCATAGATTTACTTATTCTAATCAACATAACTTGATATAACATAACATTGAATAACCTGAAACTTTTACAGGTGGACTCTCTCTACAACAATATTCTCTCTGCAGCAAATGTTTTATGGTCCTCTGAATTTTTTATTTGTACAAGGAACCCTTCTCAAGTGGGCAGATATAACTCCAAGGAACCACAAAATAGGCATTAAACCAAGAAATTGCTTTAGACAATATTTTTTGTACAGACATGGAGATGAGTCTATACATACCTGTAATAACAATGCTGACCAAAGAAACCCAAAATGTTCACTGTCTCTTTCCACTCTTACTTTTATTGTGGTATACAGTTTAACCTCTTGTTCACTCAAACCTCCCTAAGTTAAACGCCATTCTATATTGAATTTGTGTTTAGTCCATGCTGGTTGAATTCTGCCATGATAAGTATAATATAAAATACTGGTACATGATAATGCCTGACTCAAAGACTATCCCTTGAAGCCTGTATAGGACTCAATGTTGTGCAGGAATTTGGGGTATTTTTCTAGGGAAGAGCAATAATAATGTATCTCTATGTTATTCCAAAGTAATTGGGCGGCTAATTGGTCAAATGCACCCTTGCTTCTTTTCTGAGTACACCATTCTGTCAAATAATTTACCAAGCACTTCAAGGCAGAAGAATACTCCCAAAAATTATAGTTTTCCCCAAGCCAAATATTTAATTTTTTAAAATCTTCTTATGGGTCTCTCTGAGTTTGACTCAAGGAGTTCCAAGTTATGTGTCCTTTCTATTTTGCACACCTCCAATTCTGTACCTTAATTGCTGTTATGTACACTTGCTGTTGTGTATTTTGTGGCTCGGTAATTTGTTGTGCAGACGTGTGAAAAAGTTGGTTACATGAAAAGGAAGTACCTCAGCCAGAGAAGCCAAGCAGAGTTTTCAGGAATTATGCACAAATCTCTCAAAAAGAAACGAGGGCATATCAAGAGTGAGAGGGATAGAAAAATAGGAGGCTTCGGGAAAGGTGAAGAGGCCGTCACAGGCACACTGGCAAAGGACCCAGAAGAAATCCCATTATTCAACCATTCCACGTCAGTTCGAGTTGTGAATACCCTCAGCAACTAAGCTGACA